TTTTGTTAGGAAAATATAACTTCACAACACCTTGTGAATTGCCCAATAGGTTGCAGAGTTGTATCGTCATGTGTTATTTTTCTTCACAAAACAATAACAACATTTTTACAACTGTCATAAAATATATTGACTTCACGACAAACACGACAAATACGACACCTTGCGAATTGCCCAAATATGTATATTTCCTCAAACAAAGATTATCGATAGTGGCCAACGGCTATTTGATAGTGCAAGAAAGTAGCACCATTCGATAGTATCGGCAGTACCATCGATAGTTTTACAGCTTTAGTGCATGTATGCATTTCGTCGTTTTTCTTATATGCATTACTCCGGTTTTGACTCGAAACTGTGCATGTATGCATTACTTCGTTTTTCTCATATGCATTATTTCGTTTTTTTCTAATATGCATTATAGCGGTTTTCAACCGAAACCTTGCATATATGCATTATTTCGGTTTTTCTCATATGCATTATTTCGGATGCACAGTTTCCATATGCACAATTTGAGGGTGCCTGCGGTGTTCAAGAAAGAATTACTGAATTATAGATAAATGAAAAATTATCCGCTATTCGCTATTACTTGAATCATGAATGAAAAATCATTCTTCATTCGAAATTACTTGAATGATGAATACAAATTTATTCTTTATTTAAAATTGTTTAAATTAAGAATACAATTTATTCTTCATCCAAAATTACTTCAATAATGAATAAAAATTTATTCATTATTTGAAATTACTTGAATGATGAATAAAAATTTATTCTTCATTTTAAATTACTTGAATGAAGAATGTTTAAGCCGCCGCTTAAACCTAATTCAGCGGCCGTGCGCGCATCCTTTGGCGGCAGTGGAGTCGAAGCGACTCCGAAAATTATTACCGAGCGCGCACGGCCGCCTAACATCCTCGCAAAAATTATGCGAAAGTTCAGTTCAGCCAAAACCGTCGGACATCGCGCACGCGCCCCCCCCCCCCTTTTTTTACTCAACAACGGAAGTACGACTGAACGGATTCGCATGAAAATTTGCACACAGATAGCTTATGACCTAGGTTGGAAAATAGGCTACTTTTCTTAACAGTTGCCACCTGTTAAAAAAGTTTAACTAAATTAATACGCGAAACGAATGAACGGATTTGAATGACATTTAGCACACGGATAGCTTATGACCTAGGTTGGAAAATAGGCTACTTTTTTTTAAGAGTTGCCATCTATTAGAATGTTTAATTAGATTAATACGCGGAAATGAGTGAACTGATTTGCATGGAAGTTTTCACACAGATAGTTTATGAGCTAGGTTGGAAAATGGAACACTTTTTTTAATAAAATTAATACGCGAAAACGTCTGAACAGATTTGCATGAAATTTTGCAAGCAGACAGCTTATGACCTACAGTGGAAAATAGGCTAATTTTTTTGGAAGAGTTGGCACCTGTTAAAAAAACTTAACTAAATTAATACGCGAAAACGACTGAACAGATTTGCATGAAATTTGGCACAGAGATAGCTTATGACCTACGTTGGAAAACAGGCTACTATTTTAAGAGTTGGTGATTAATCAATTTATGCTGGAATTTTCCTGTGCACACAAAACAATTAATCGTAATCGCAGCCAGCGATTAACGATTAAAAAATTTAATCATTAATCGTACAGTTGATTACGACTAATTAATTTTATGCGTCAAACGCGATTAACATTTTAATCGTTAATTTTTAATCTTTAATCAGAATAACATTTTGCCAACACTGTGTGAAATCATATTCATACTCATGGAGAAAAATGGAGGTTTTTGGAAAAGAGGCGTGGCACCTCCCATACTGGCTGAAAGTTTCATATTGCATATCTCGTCAAATGTTTGGGGTAAAGTGCTCAAGCTTGGTATGGAAATACATATTTATGTATGTATGTGAAACTAATACCAAACTCATCAAGAAAAATTTGAGTTATTGGAAAAGGTGGTGTGGAAACTCCCATGCAAATTTATTTTTCTATGCTGCATATCTCTGGAGGCAGAGGACTGGAACTTGGCACCGAGATGTGTATACAAAATTAATGCCATTCTCATGGAGAAAAATTTGCGTTATTCGAAAAGGGGGCATGGTACCTCCCGTACAAATTTACTGTTTTATACTACATATCTCTAGAGGTGTTCATGGTAGAGTACTGGGACTTGGTACTGGGGTATGTAAAATCAATTATAAATTCATGGAAGAAGATTAGGGTTATAAGAAAAAGGTACAAATTGACTTTTTCTTGCCACTTATCCCTGGAAGTGTTTGTGGAAGAATACTGCTACTTGGTATGGAGTTGTGTATACAAAATGTATCAATTGCTCATGGAAAAAAAATTTCTTAATACATACATATCTCTGGAAGTATTTTAAATTTGTTATGGAGATTTATTTTATAAGTGCCGTACTGACAGAAAAAATGTCATTTAATGGAAAAGGGAGCGCCGGGTTCGGCCTTATAATGTAAAGCTGTCATGATGCATACATACCTCTTGAGGCATTTGCTACAGTATTGAGGAGTTTTAAACGGCCTAAATACCTTAACTCACTTAAAAAATAACGAGCTATAACAAAATGGGCACAGAAATAAAATATAACATCATTAAATTATTTTTCATATTTGTATAAAAACGTGGGGTGAAACCCGCGGGTACAAGCTAGTTTATGATAAATAAGTATGGGAAATAGTTTTCGAATAGGTACGTTCAATGAATTATATACAATCAACAGCTGTTTTCTGCATGTTTCCATACAAAAATACTATATTTTTTTCCAAATACCTAGACAAATTTTTCTGAAGTCAGCATTGATGTTGCTCATATATCGCACACGATCTTCAAAAGTGGCACAACTCAAAATTACACCTTCGTCAGATAATGCGAAAAACTATTACGTAGCACATGCAAATCATATGGGCAAGGGAGACTTAACCTTAGGTTTTTTCAACAAATTATAACAAAAATTTGCTCCAGCTTTGCTTGCAGGTAAATAAAAGCTCTAGGTACATTTTTAGTGCATTATTTCAAAAATGCTAAATTTTGATTTGTGTTACTTTTGAAGATCGTCTGCGATATGATTCATGGACTGGTGGGACAAAACTTGACCCATGTATCACATGTCATTCATTGGATAGGAAACCTGAAAATAAAGATAAAATAAAGAAAATTAAAATAAATAGAAATATTTAAAGTCAATACAAAAATTTCGGGGGTGTTCCAACACCCAAATCCCCTTCCCCCTAAATCCACCACTGCTCCAGACCAATGCTATTTCTCTTAATAGTGTTGGTCTTTGGACTTCTCGCACCAGGCTGTGCCTTAGTCCGGTA